AAAAAAAAAAAAAAAAAAAAAAAAAATCCGGCCGGCCGGCCGAACCGGACGGACCGGTTCCGACCGGCCGTCGTTTCCGGACGGCTTTCTTGCCGTCCGGCCGGCCGGTTCGGACGGCAGCGGTCCGTCCGGCCGTGCTTTCCGGCCGGTTTTTATGTCGTCCGGCCGGCCGGTCCGGACGGTCCTTAAACCGTCCGGAACCGGCGTCCGGACGGCTTTTAGACCGTCCGGAACCGGCGACCGTACACGTATTTTTTCGTACCTCCGAATTTGACGACATTTCACCGTACACTTTCCTCTGAGATGTTTAGAAAAAATGAGAAGGGCAAAATTGTCCAAGGGGGCGGTGACTAGTAAAAGGGGCGGTGAATAGTAACACCCTTAATAATCAAGTAATGTCCCACCGACGCCGTACCGTTGTCCGGCCTGTCCAACGTTTCTCCAGGAGAGATGAGGTTTTCTTTCGACCTTCCGGAACCCGACGGTCATCAATCTCCGACGCCTTCTCCGTCGAATCCGTCTAATTACCTTTCTGTCAACGTTAAGGAACGAGACAGCCGTCAAACTCCGTCACCTTCACCGCCGAATTCAACTCCTAAAGCTGAGCTCCAATGGTTCCTGCTGCAAAACCACCCTCTCTTCTCGTCCTCAACAGCCGCCACAGCCTCTTGCTCCTCCGAGAGAGTACCTCCGAACCTCATGGCGTGGGATGGAGCATCTCGGCTTTACTTTTGGGATTTAGACAAGAAATGCCTCCACAGGATTTCCATTCGACTAGGTGAGCCTGACCCGTCCTCCATTATCGCGGCGTACCCTTCTAAGGTATTTTTCAAAATTTTCCTGATGTAATTTTTTCTGTTTAATTTTATAATGCTATATGCGTGTCCTTTGTCTAAATGTGTGTGGTTGACACTCTTGGACCTAAGCTTAATGCATTTAGGGTTTAAGAGGGGCTTATGAACTCGAAAAAAATCTAGTGAGTACAGTATGAACGGCATGCTTTTAGCAAAGGGGTTTATTGGTACTCATTTGCCTCTTTCTGATGGCGATGAGTTACGTTTCAAATTGAATAATATAGTGATGCTATCATTTCAATGGCTACCCAATTCCAAAATTTAACAATCTAATCAATGTTGTGTATCTTACAATGTTATAGAAAATTTGGACGTGCTTTGCAGTTTGCCCGTACTTGTATTTTTCTCTTATAGGTTTTGCAAGCGGAAACACCATTGAAATTTGAGGTCAATAAGATTGCAATCAACGGAAATGGTTCAACTTTGCTCCTAGTTGGAATGGAAGGTCTGTGTATTATGTATCTCTATGGACATTCTTCCTCTGCAGAAAATACCATAATCTCTAAGTAAGTAAAACATTGTTCACAAGATCAATCTACTTCTTTTCTTTTTTGAGGTTGCATACTTTCAGGAAAGGTATGAACTTCCATGGTTTATGCTTAGCTTTAATGATGTTGATCCGTCTTTTACCTACTATTGTACTTTGCTCTTGTCTGTTTAGTGGAATCCGAGCTTTGTTTTTGAGAGAAACTCTGCTTTTCTGATTACCTAGTTATCAGAAGAATTAACTGTATTTTGATGAAGAATTACCCAGTTGAAGATGTTGATCCGTCGTTTACCTACTATTGTACTTTCCCCTTGTCTGCTTAGTGGAATCCAAGCCTTGTTTTTGAGAGAAACTCTGTTTTTTTATTACCTAGTTATCAGAAGAATTAACTGTATTTTGATGAAGAAAGTTTCCAGTTGAACGCCTTTCTGTTAACCCTCTGTTAACCCTTTTTCAATTTTTTTCTCTCCATTTTTCCAGTACAATTTTTAAATTAAACATTAATCATTGCTACACGTATTTTTATAAAACCTCATCATATTCAACTTTAACTGAAATTACAGGATTTCCTGAAAGAGCTCCCGCCTCTCCTCCTCCGTTTATTATTCATCCACTCACATATTTAAAACTATCGATCACTATTTTACTATTTCCCAATCAGATCACATTCAATTACTACTCTTTGTATCACATCATTACACGTTATAAAAGTAATAGTTCTTCCACTAAATCTTCTTTCACCAAAATAAAAACTCCCAATGAAACAATATCCAATGCACCTTAAGTTCATGATCAGTGACTGGCAATGAAAACAGTGTTTTGAACATATGTCGAGTTGCTGAGTTTGTTTATACTCATCTCTAATTGTGAACTTTTTAATATTCATTTGATACTTTTGATTGCATGTTGACCCAAGAGAGTGTTTTGTGCTGCTCTTTTAGTTCCTTTCATGCAGACATGTAAAAGAATTGCTATATCTTTATCTTTTTCCAGGACAGTGTTGGTTGGTACAGAAATTTACTTCAACAGAAATAACTTCATGAACATTCTCCAGATCTGTTGGCATCCTTACAGTCATTCACACTTGGCAATCCTTTCCTCTGATTCCGTTTTCCGGTAATACATCATTTCTTGTTAGTTGAATGTGTCGGGGGGATTCCACATGACATAATATTGCATTTGTGCATCCCAGTTTCGTGAAACGTGGACTTTGGTTGTTACTTTGATAAATGTTCTAAATTTTTCTTCCCATTTTGGGTATGCATCTTTTAGTTGGCTTTGTATGAGAATAGTGTTTGCAAGGGTATGGATAACAAAAACTTATGAAATACATCATTCTTCCGAGGCGATAAAACAATATAATNGCGCTCTTCTTTAGGAAGACAATCTATTTTTAGAGTCTGTTTCAACTATCCTTGTTCAGAGAACTAAGCTTCAGCTATGTACTTGCAATAAATGGTTCAAAGCCTCATCTAGCATGTAATTTTAATTTTTATATGCTGATAAATCGTCCACATTTGTTTGATCTGGGTTTTGTTTGTTACAGCTTCTCATTCATATGAACCAACTTGAAAAAAATTGATGGGGCTGTTGATCTGTTTGCAGAATCTTTGACTTGTCTACAGACCTAGAGCAACCTGAGCAGGAGTTTTATTTACAACCTGTAGAACCTAGCAGTTCCTGCAATGCGTCATCAATTTGTCCAGTTGATTTCGCATTTGGGGGAAGTCATTTGTGGGAGAGATTCAGTGTAAGAGGATACTCTTGGTTCACTTGCCTTGAATAGTTTTTTTTCTCTTGTGTATGTTCATACTGAAGAATGGTATTGTGAGAAAGATTCAGCGTAACTATTTGGTTATTTTCTCATTTTGTTAGCATGTTCATTGACAAAATAACTTGATTTATGTGAGACATGTATTACGATAAATTACATGTTGGCCGAGAATTTAATATATTACTGGTTTATGTTTCCACGGAGTGTATTAGTTTTCTCACTAAAGAATATCTCCCCTAAAATGTACTTATATAATGTGTGAAGTGCGTGCTACAAAGATGTTTCAATTGGGGTGTCTCGCGTAACTTACCCAGCGTGAGTACTTTTGATGTTCTTCAATATATTTTAACATGGAGAAACTGATAGTGCTGCTGTTTATTTTTCAGGTTTTTATCTTGTTTAGTGATGGATCTGTTTACATAATTTGCCCGGTTGTACCATTTGGAAGGTACATATGATTATCCTTTTTGCATGTTGTGGGGACTTGAAAATCTTAGTGATAGTGGCCATACTGGACAAAAAGTCCTTCACTAAAACTTTTGCACAAAGTACTTTATCGAAAATTCTGCTTTTTAGATGCTTTCTGCTGTTCTGGTTTCTGAAAATGCAAAAATCGTATGCTGGAGTTATCCAGACTATTGTCATCATTAAACTGTTATCCTTAATTAAATATTAAGCTGAAAAATGCTGATATGTTTGTTTTGTGAAATTTATTGGAGTTCTGATTATGCCCTCCTCTTTTTAACAGTGTCCATATATGGGAATCAATTCTGGAAATTTATAATGATGCACACACGTATGGGCTAAAATCGGCCAATTCAGAATCTGTTATAAATTCCAACATGGCAATCTCCTGGCTGGAGGCAACATTTCCCGAATTAATTCGTCAAGCTGGAGATGGTGCGAAATCATATGCAGTCAAAGCTCAGCCTTTTGTTATCCTGGATGCATCTGTTTCATTGCAGGTACTTACTTTTTCCTTCCCCTTCCCAGTATCTTGTTCATTCAATAGTCTGTTTTTACAGACTGGAATAGAATTGTTTGTGTCTGGATAGTTCTTGATATATAGCTTCAACATGCCAATCGAATATTTCTTTTTTATTTTCTCACTTGATTTTTATATTTTATGGTTTGTTTTAATATCAGGGGCCTCTGCACAAAATATCTCATGGCACTCCTGAAGACTCCAGAGCCGGGACAGAGTTATGTGAGGGGCGTGCCCTAAGTCTACTCTGCAATATAATTGGCAAAGATTCAGTTCTTGTGACTGCCTACAGCGGTGGACAGCTGCAGCTGGATGCTCTGGCCGATGAAATCCATCCCATCTGGAAAACGGGCAGCGAGCCCTGTCTCTGTGTTGACCCGTCTAATCGGATAAAACGAGCCGCCATGATTTGCGAATCCACGCCTCACAATCACTCAATCCCCGAAACAGACCACAAAACCCCCAACAACACCGTCTGGTTGGGGCACCCACCTCCTCTTCTGAGGCTGGCCATCGTCGATTTAGCTTTGCCCGGCAAAACTAAATGTCCAATTTCTATGATTTCGGACCCCCTCGTCTCGGAACGGGTCTTTTGCATTCACGCGGGAGGCATAGACTCTGTCGTGCTGCATTTTCTCCCATTCACTCACCAGAACAGCGAGAAGGAGAAGCAAATGCGGGCCCCGTCCGTTTTCACTGTTCTGAGCACGTGTCTGCCTTGCGATTCGTCCTCGCCCATGCCTTCGCCTCTTTGCGGTTTTGTTACCCTGGCGGATTCGTATGGGAGCTCGTGGATTTTGGGGCTCACGTGCTCGCGCGAGTGTGTGGTGCTTGAGATGGAGACTTGGAATGTGCTGCTAACGGATGTGATGGATAGGATTGTGGAGACGGGTGTTGAGAGTGACGTGAGAGAGGGGGAGACTGATGATATGCCGACTATAATTAGCAAGGAGCTGCTCGGTGGGCCCCGGCCAGTTCTGCTGCCCCCGGCGGCCCCGAACTTGCGGTCGTTGAAGGGAGATTCGATCGAGGGGCGGTCGATGCTGCATCAATATTTCAAGTTGTTTCACGAGAATTACGTGGAGTATGCCCACAAGGTAGGAGGCCTTTTATTTATTTATTTATTTATTTTTTTTAAAGTGAGTCGTGTATTTTGAATTTTGCCTTCATGTTGTTTACAACAACAACAACAACATACCCAGTATATTCCCAACACCAACAGGTTGGGGTCTGGGGGGTCAGTTGTACGCAGACCTTACCCTTGTAATTATACAAGGAGGCTGTTTCCGTAGCGACCCAAGGTGCATTGCGCCGTTTGATATATTTTTTTTTTTCTAGAAACTTCACTAATAGAAGAAGCACTAGAATTTAATTGAGTCATTTTGATCTAGTCCATTATTAGCACTATACCAGGAGAATTGTCAACAATGACTCTTCCAGCTCCATTTGCCTTCATGTTGTTTGAGATGGAGAAAAGTGTCTCCATGTGCTCTCTTTTGCTATTGTTGCTGCGGATTGCGGAAGTCTCTTGGGATGGTTATGTCAAATTATTCAATGTGTTGTGGCTTAGGAAATGGGAGTTGTTGGTGGCGAAAAGCTAGGACGTGTAGAACCTTGTAGCATGTGAATTTGGATTCTGGAATAGTATTTGATTCATTTTAGGCAGATGAGCAAGTTAAAGAACTCTATACTCGAATTGAGATCAAAGTATAAAGAATGGTCGGGGTTCAAAATGCTTTTTGGTTATGAATAACATAAGATAATTAAAATTCATGGGTTCTCTTTCTAATTTGAAAGTTAGCTGGGTTTGTTTCTTAACTAGGTCGAATTATGGCATATGTTATGTAATTATCTCTAAGTTTGTATTTGTAAGAGTATTCAAGCTTTTCTAGCTTTTAGTCTGTGTGGTTTTGACTATCATCAAGTTCAGTTTGGTTTGATGAATGGATATAGCGTACTTAAATGTAACCCTTTAATGTTGATAAAAACTGAATCAACCTTTACAATGTCCACTGTCCAGTTATTCTACCATATTCATTTATGTCCAATTAGACGTGTACACTTGCATGCATATATTGAATTATTCCCTACATCCATTGACATGCTTTCTGAATACAGATGAAATTTGTTTTTGCTGTTGTAGGTGTACTTTGAACTCCAGCATCATGGACCTCATTTGAAAAGAATAATTGATAACCAGAATTCTCGGTTACGGGAAATGCAACAGAAGCTTTTGGAAGTTGAAAGAAAACAGGAAAAGATAGACAATTGCATGGATCGAGCAATAAATTCTCACAATTCCATAGAAGAGCGCTTACTGAAGTTGCGGAGGCTGCCTGGAGCCCACAAAAGACCACTTTCAAAAGCAGAGAGAGATTTCATGTCAGAACTTGGTAATGTTTTCTGGATTTTATTCTACAAGCTGCTATTCAAATATCTTAAATCTAAAATCCCGCACTTTGAGTATTCTTTCGACGATCTATCCGATTTCTAAGTGAACCTAGTCTTATGCCTAAGACATGAAGGTAAAGTCGTAGATGACGCCTACTTCCTTTCGAATGCTTTCGAATGAGACTTGAACCAGAATCGTTTTCTAAGAAATGGAGCTAAAATATTGATGCTGACGACTACAGTTATGCTGATTAATTTTTAAGAGATAAGACATGATCTACATCAGAAGAGAAAGTAGAATTAAGATTGCAATTCTTGTGCATGAGTTGATTTTCTTCCAAGTTTAAGTAATGCAGATCCTTAAATGGAACTCATCCCCCATTTTATTTGGTTTTTCATAATCTAATACTACTATTAAGCAAAGTGGAGAAAATGCCTAGTGAGTTGGAAACCCATAAATGATAAATGTTAGAATCAGGACTGTTTTGTTACTGCTGTGAGTATCTATAGGCTGAAAGGTACAACAGTAGTACATGTAAGAGAGCCCATGGCTATGCAAGGTTTGTACATTTTGGTAAGTACACATTGTTATAAGAACTACTGGACTCGCTTCTCGCAAATTTTTGTAAAAATTCAATATCCTTGTCATGTTTACCTGCTATTTTCTTACATCATTACTAAAGATTTACAGTTTTTCTCTCTGTACAAGTAATATTGTATCTATAGGCTGAAAGGTACAACAGTAGTAATATTGTTACTGCTGTGAGTATCTATAGGCTGAAAGGTACAACAGTAGTACATGTAAGAGAGCCCATGGCTATGCAAGGTTTGTACATTTTGGTTAGTACACATTGTTATAAGAACTACTGGACTCGCTTCTCGCAAATTTTTGTAAAAATTCAATTTCCTTGTCATGTTTACCTGCTATTTTTTTACATCATTACTAAAGATTTACAGTTTTTCCCTCTGTACAAGTAATATTGTATCCTCACATAGTTTTAAATGGCCAATGGCGATCTGAGGCGATTTTCCCTTGGATGTGAGTTGTGAGGCCTTGGCAACGTAAGAGATGAAAGAAAACACACACAAAAAATAAATAAATAAATAATATAGATGGTGCAATTATAGATTTTTGTTCAAATGGCAAAATCACCCTCAAATATCCCTAAGAAGGCAAGAACGCATTTCACAGCTAACATTAGCTCCTGAAAAATAAAATTGGAATCCCAATACATAAATCAACGTATGCTGAGGAAGGAGTGAGTCAACTGATGACTTATTAGGTTGAGAAAGATGGATGCACTGCGCTCTCACGATCTTTCTTGACAGCATAAAAGAAAGGAGAGAAAAACAAAGCAACGCTAATTTGATGCGACTTAGCGGAGGTCAGTTGGGAGTGAGATAGAAGCCGGTCAGAGGAGGTTGGAAATTGGATAGGTCCATTGGTGGTCCCCAATTTTATAAATCTAAATTGCTTAATTGGCTATCTTTCCCTAAGAGAAAACCCTAGTTGGGGTGTGAAATTCCAGATTAAAGGGTGGTTTAGGGCTCCAATTCTATAAGTGTCATACTTTTTTTCTTTTTGGTTATCTTTAATGAAATTTGAAGATATTGCCTTGGGCCTCTGTGGCGATTTTGGCTAGAGGAATGTGGCCACCATACTATGGCCTCTCACATAGAAATATTTTTTGCGTTTTCATTATCAATGACTAACACTGTCCGGACAGATATTCATAATGTCCTTTTATCTTGATGCAGATAAGTTTACCGGTTTGGAGTTGGATGCACTGCGCTCTACCATAGAGGCCTTGAAGGTGAGGTTGCAAAGACACATGCATTACATGCAGTCCAATTCCCCAAGCAGACAGACACAAAAACCGGGACGAAGGCCCAATAAGGTTCAAGACAATGTGTCCCAACTTAAATCTGCACTCGCCAAACTCTCACTAATTAACACAGAGAACAGCAGAAAGGTCAAACTCGTTGAATCTGCTCTGAGAAGTAAGGAAATCAGTGACTGACAATATCGTGAGGGAGTCCAAAGACATGTTTGATTTTTGCAGATCGATTTTTTTTGTGTGCGCTCGAAGTGTTCTTGGGGCAGCCAAGGTATTTGGAATCTCTGCTGCTAAAAAGATTGGAAGTTTGTTGTAAACTGTATCCAGTGTTATCCTGATTTGGTTGCTAAACTTGATATTTATCTTCGATTAATGATTCGATTGGATGGATCCTATCCTTTGAGATTTTTTTTTTTTTTTTTTTGGTTAATATCAGCAAAGAAGTGATTGATATGGAAGGCAACAGGTTAGTCAGATGGTGGAGGTGTTGGGCTCTCTGAGTCTCGAGCATAGTATGAAGGTGCACAATGCCATAATGTGGAGCTGTTTGTAGTATTTAGTAAACCACCTTTTTGGACTTTATCAATGCATGAATTGACTACACGAGCAACAATTTTCATATAAATGGCAGTGTTTGAGTTGGAACAATTTTCATATAAATGTTCCGGCGTAAATACTCCGATGCTGAAGTAAGTTTTCGTGTATATTTTGTATTCAATTATGCTAAATTTAGGAGATCTTCTTAGCAGATATAAAAGACTTTCCTTCCATTCCTTCAGAGTTCCTTTACTTATTAACTTCCTTAAATAACTCAACTAATTCCAACTCATTTAATCTAGGGGAATTTCATATCTCCTACGTGAGATATAAATATTTACAACTCTACCATGTAAATATATTTAATCTATACTTATATAATAAGGAGTACCATTTACGAAATTTAGTAAGTTGAAAAGTCAATGCAATAAATGCATTACTATTTTGAGCAATATAATATAATATCATATCTATACTTATATAAAATGAGATTCTATTTACTATATTTACTATCCAGAAAAGTCAACTGCATTAAATGTCATTACTATTTTGGTATTATAATATTTTATTTATTTAATTGATTTATTATTTGTTTTATTTTAAAAAGGTAAGTATAATAAAAAGATTTTAATAATAAAAAAATCAAATACCAAATAAAAATGTACACTTTGACTTCTTTGATTATATTTGGTATTTGATTATACCAAATATATTCCTATTTAGTATATACATTAAATACTTACTAAAGTATTTATTTGTTTTATTTGTCAAAGTTAAGTACAGATTTGTTTATATTATCAAATCATAAAAAAATATTAAATCCATATTGTAAATAAAAATAAAAAAATCATATAATTTTATAACAATTCTACTACACTATTTAACAATATTTTTTTTTATTATATAATAAAATAATAATTAAATATTATATGGTGAACAACAATAAGTAAAACTGTTACTTTCTCTGATATCAAGGGATAAATTTATATGCTGAAATTAAATTTTTATTAGTATAAATATTTTAGTGAGATAATATATTAATTATTTTACAAGCTAGCCCTAACATGCTCATATTTAATGTTTTAAAAGATGTAGAAAAAAACTTATAGTAACTCTATTGTTTTTTAGACTTAAACGTTGATTAAAAGAGGTAAAATTTACTAATTTTTTAGACTTAAACGTTGATTAACACCATAGATTGAGAGTCTTTATTTAGTAAAATTCTTAATTGTAATAAAAAAATTAATTTTTGCTATATTTTAGAATATCTTTAAATTCATTATAAAAAGAAAAAAAAAACTACAATGAAAAAAGCAAGTCAGCAGTATATCGATTTGTTGTACTCCTCAAATCACATTCACAATTTGGCTACAAGGAAAGAAACTCATTGATTAAAATATTATTTTGTTAGTAGTCTTATTGTACAAGAGACTTTAAGACTCCACTTGAATATTATAAAACTTTTATTGAACATTGTACAATTTTCTTGCGTATTATAAATTTTTATTGAATATTGAATCTTATAATATGATATTCTCCGAATAAATATATCCCGTGCTTCGCACGGGTCACGTACTATATATATCCCGTACATTTTTCTTTATTCATGTATATAATTATAAACCTGGATAAATAGCCTTAAAATTGTGCACCCCGTGCATCGCACGGGCTCTGTACTAGTTATGTCTTTACTTAAAAGACCACATTTAACTACATTAATGTTTAAAAGGAGTTACCATATCCATTACAACCTCAATCCCTTGATTTCCGTTGTAAAAGACCATATTTAACTACATTAATGCCTAAAAGGCAAATACTATATCCATTTCATCCTAAAAAAAAAAAAAAATTGGGTTCATTTTTTTTTAATTTTATATTTTTTGTTTTATCTTTGATAATTCATTAAATGGGTTTTTTAGTTTTTTAATGGTATATATACAGTTTTTTTAATGGTATATATATAGTTTATTTTAATCGTTTTTTAATGGTATACATATCGTTTTTTTTAAATATTGCTCTTTTGAGAATATACCAAAAATATATTGAAAATTTACTAACTATAACCCTGAATAACCATACAAATAAAGCGCTCCACCCTTAATGTCGTGTATATTCTATTACAAATA